TGAACCGCTGACCTGCTGATCTAGCAGTAGCCTGCAGTGCTGCATTTAACCACTGCGCCACCTTGGCATTTCTTATTGGTACAACCATTTATTTCTTCCTCCACAATCGCTCAACTTCAATTTGCAGATTGCGGTATTTTGTGATTTTTTGTTTTCTAGTTGTCTCTAGTTGTCTCTCTTCAATTTGTGCGTCAACTGGTATACCAATATCGAAGAACTCTTTTCCTTTCCACAATAAAGATGTCAGGCATGTTGTGGGCCAGACGTCTGTCTGTTTAGATCCAAAAGTCCCACAGGATCTTGACCTGTTCATTTTCAAGAACTTTATTATTGTTGATGTAGTTTCAATGGCCAGGTCACGATATTTCATGTTTTTTTTCTAGTTATTTTTCTTCGACTCTGGCATCTCCTGGTACAATGATATCAATAAACTCTACACTTTGGTTTTTGATTACTGTGATATCTGGCATTTCTAAATGATGATCCATTATTATTGTTGTTGTATTTATCAGATTATTTTCCTGTAATAAACGTTGGGGGTGGGTGAACAATTTCATGAAATGATCGATGAGTTGAAAAGTTTGGGGACAATGGCTTAACCTCTGCTTTGGTCTGCAGATCTATGCCCTCAACCGGGTAATGACTGAGCTGGAGCAGCAACAGTTTGATGCCTTCTGCAAGCAGATGAGGGCTTCCAGTGAGTGAGCCCTTCAGACAGCCAGATCTTCGCTCCCCACACAAGACTGCACTCAAGGTCTGAACGCTGGACCATGGTCAGTGGTCTGTTAAAACCATGGTGGGAAGTCCCCATACCCTTTTTCCTCTGGGCTATGGCAGTGCCTCTCAGCCGCTTCCAAATCCACCAAAAGTCCAAGCCCTTGCGAAAATTGAGTGTCTCATTGTTTGAACTGGTTTTTTTTAAAATCCTATTTATTAAATAAATGAGTGTTTTATATGTGTGCAAATATCTGTCTGTAAGGCCAGTGCAGATATGATCAGGGCCATTAAGATACTTCCAGGAAACCCAAAAGCCAAAGAAAAAAGTTTCCTCTCCTCCCTCCTCTCCTCCCCCCCCCCCGAACGGAGAGAACAGAGTATGCTGCCTCTTCCCATGGAGGCATTGCTTGTAAGTCACTGATAGGTGAAGAGTCCTAAGGCTCTTGATTGTTTGGTGTGACATAAAGTTTGTTCAAGTGGTTCCTTGTTGCACAGAAATGCAACATAAATTTTATATACCTGAAGCCTAATGACCCTCCTTGCTCAAGGTTTATAAGAAAGAGAACAAAAAAAAACCAACCTTGTTGCCGACACACAGCTGACTTTGTCTCCCTCCCCTCTGTTTCTCCCTCCCCTGTCGCCCCTTTTTTTTTGGGGGGGGGGTCTGCTTCTGTTTGGCCTTTCTAGACTTAGTAGGGGCAGGCAGTGGATAGCCAACAATGTGAGATTTGTGTGCTAATGGAAGAGGATGGTGAAGATTATAACCACACAGCTTCTCCCCTCCTGCTCCAGACCTTATGAATCACTTGTCACAGTTCTCAAGCACATAACATACAATGCAAAACACAAAACACAAGAAAGTCTCTTCAATATTTTCAGAGTTTTAATTTTTTCCTCCAAACACGAGAACATTAGTTTCAAGTATTCAAGTTTTCCAATGACACAACTTGCCATCTCCTTGCCTTTTCCCGTCTTGTGGTTTTAATCTAACAGCTCTCGGGAAGAGACCGTTTTCCCAATGTATTTCATTAGCCTGATAAATACTTTAAAAACCCATTAAAAGTGCTCCCTTTCACATAAGCATTTGGGGCTGTTCTTTTCGAAACACAAATCTAGAATACCTGCCGTGACCCTGGCTAGAATTGGAAGTCAGGGTGGAATTCTAGATCTGAGATCTACCCAGTAAAGCGTACAAAGGATTCCTTTGGCAAAGCTGGGCAGCTCACAGAAGTTTATGCCCCCCTTTAAGCCCTTTCTGGTGGCAGAGGGATGGATGTGTGGCAGGAAGGATGCCATGCACTGGCCCGTTTGCTTGGCAACTTGCTTCCAGAGATCCTTCTTTATACCAGATGGCGGACTTGATTTGCAGGCCCAGCTGGAGGGAATAATTTCCCAAATTGTCTCCAGCAGCAGTTCCTGCCCACGTTGATGAGCCAACCGCCATCAACGTGGACGGGAACTGCTGCTGGTGACTTAGATTCTGGGTGGCAAAATGAGGTTTTTTTTAGATGCCCTGCTTCCTGTCTACTCTGGAAAGGCGATCCACTCATATAGGGTAAAACGCATGCACAGACCCACAACTCTCTTTGCAAGGAGTAGAGTGTTTTAAAAGACCCAGAAGGAGCTTGACTATCAGTTGTGGGTCAAAGATAGCTTAATATCTCTCCTATTAAGAGCCGGACTTTGCTCTTTTACTTGTGTGGGCCTGGATAAGAATAGGGCAGTCATGTGAGAGATAACTTCCTCTTTTCTCTTAAGGGCCAAATCTGTCTCCAAAAGCAGTGGGATTTCCTTCTAAAGGTTGCAAATTCAGTTAGCTCACCTGTTGCAAAAATCTAGTTTAAAAAGGAAGTACCCCTGATGGATCCAGAGTGAGAATGCCACAAGAGTGGAAAGTGTTAAGAAAAGAGGTCTGTGTTCAAGTTTTCCCCATGTCCCTAAAAGCTGTCGGCGAGTAAGTTACTGGCACTAAAAAAAAAAATAAGCAAGAAATTTCGTGACCCGTCAAAACCGCGGTCCACTAAAGCGCGCCCAACGAAAACGCGTACGTGACGTCATCAGCAGCGCGACGAAAAAAATTAAAAATAAATTAACTTAAAATTAAAATTAAATTAAAGCAAGCCGATTCACATAAAGGTAAGGGTTAGGGTTAGGTTAAGGGTTAGGGTTAGGTTTAGGGTTACGTTACGCGTTAGGGTTAGGGTTAGATTAAGGGTTAGTGTTAGGTTTAGCGTTAGGTTAAGGGTTAGGTTTAGGGTTACGTTACGCGTTAGGGTTAGGGTTAGATTAAGGGTTAGTGTTAGGTTTAGCGTTAGGTTAAGGGTTAGGTTTAGGGTTAGGTTTGGGGGGGTTAGGGTAAGGT